ACAATTAAATTTTAATAAAATAAATAAAAAATCAGTTATAAAAGGTCAGATTTTAATATTTTGTGATTTTGTCAAGGAGCGAAATATTGCATCAATATTTTGATTGCAATTATTCACATTTTTTTTTGAAGATCGATTGCTTTTTTTTTTGTGATTATAAAACTGAAAACAGCTTACTATATTTTAAACTGTAAAAAATATTTATCCTTTCTTTAAAAAGTAAAAACATCTTGAATTAGTATTGGTATGGCTTCTTATAACTAGATGCAGTTATTTTTCTGTTGGATAATTGACAACACTGGCCCTTGTTGTTTGCTGTGGTTGTTGCTGTTTTTGTTTCTTGTGCTGCTTCCATTTTTATTGCCCAGTGGCCACATGCGAGTGGAGCTCAAGCTCCTTGTTTACACTGTCCAACTAATTGGATTGGCAGTTTGCAACGCAAGAAGGAGCCAAAGATATATTGGATTGCGTATGCATGTATGTGAGTTCATATATTTGTAGTTAACACTGGATAACGATAAGTCAACGTACATTTGGTCACACTGCACCAGTAGATTTTCGTTTAGTTGCAACTCTTTTTTCCAGGAATTCTTCACCACGCGTTTCCTCGAAAAATATAAACGTGCGATCATGGAAATCAATGATATCAATAAGCTTTTGATTGAATCCTGTTACCAGACAAACAAAGAGTACAGTATGTCAAGAAACTCTTTACACACTGAAAAAAGAACATATTTTTTGACTTTGCATGCAAAAATAAGGCCTTTCGTTTAGTTTTTTCAATATTTTTTAAATGCAGAACTATTATATAGGAAATTTTTAATGAGTATGTACAAAAATAAAAGCATAACAACGCAAGGGAAAATTTGTAAGCAACAAAATATTAGTTTACACATTTTTGACACTGTCAAGAAACTCTTTACACAAAATACTAAAACTACAGTTTAATGAATATATTTAACAACTTATAGTATTTTATTTTAATCAGAAGTTGAAGATCAAGAACGATTACCAAAGCACCAATAAGAGCAACTCTTATGTTGTGCGTTAATTAGTTTGAATATATTTATTTAAGTGAATGCCATGTAGGTGTCAAAATCCATGTTAAGTTATTTTTTTTTTAATCCACGCAGACAATGTTTTGCGTGCATTGAATATTTGGAATATTTCCATATAAGTGCTACAGACTGCCAAAAGTGTTAAGTTAAAAAGTTTAAACAAATTAAGCTTGCTATTACATATTTACCCACAAATGAAGGACCAAAATAGTTGTAAGAAGGCCAAAAATGAAGATATAAGCTGAACAGAAAAAGCAAAACTCCTTTGGAAACTTTCCTTTACACTTTATGCCAACACATGTACAAGTTTTTAACAAACTTCTGCAAAGATAATCAACAGGATAAGCGCAAGTTTAAGTTTCAAATTCACACTAAAGCGCTAACCTTTAAAGCACACGAAAAGTGCCCTTTGAACTTTTAATGTGATTAGTTGTTGACTATTTGTCGCAGCTTGAGGAAATGTAATTAATATTAATTTTGTGAGCATTGTCACAGACACTGACACTAATAACTTTGTAACTAAACATGTAAAGCTAAAGCCACAAAGAAACAACGTGTAGGTTTTATATTCATGTCCTTAAATAATGAAATATATTACTGTTTAACTACTTGCATTTAATAAACTCCTTTCAAGCTTAATTAATATTTGTTTTTTATTAAAAAAAAAAGGTTTACCCTCGCATAACTATTTGCTAAGAGTTTAAAGCGGTCAAATTTCTTAATGTATTAAATCATCTACTTATTTTGTTACGACCTGAGGAATCGTGTATTTTTTAATTAAGTGAAAATTGTGTGGAGGCGCCTCAGACGGCAATTTAGCAAATTAGACCATCCACATGGCGGGTCCCGGCACCACCACTCGTTTTTTCCGCTAACGAGCAACGTTTGGCGGGGTCAGGTCGGCCATCCACTTGTTGGGCGCAGGTCTTGGTCCTGCTTTTGGTCCTGGCCCGCTGCAGCCGCCTCCAGTTGTCCTTACACAATTCGCCAAACAATAAAAATGCAAAAAGGAAATTGAAAGCCCCGAGATGGAGCCATAAAGTTTGTGACTTTGGCAACCGTTCTTTCAGCTTCTACATGGAGAAAAAATATGAACGACTTACCTGTACCTGTATAATGACTTAAAATATGTTGATCTAGCTATCAGGAATGGTCTACATTTTTTAAAGATGAAAACAAAATTCTTTTCACATTGTACTACAGACTTCACGATCATGAAGATAATTTAGCCCTAGGTCTATTGGACTATAGCCTAAAAGTAAGAATACTCAAAAGATTTCACATTCTTGATCTACCTAATCGGTAAACTTAAGTAAAAGTCAATTTAAAATTTAAAGTCAATTACCAGAAACTTAACAATGACTATTTAAAAATCAATGTGAGTGAAAGCTATCCTAAATCAAGAACTTTAAAATGTAGCTTTAGTTTTTTCCACTGTATGCAACTGCTATTGCTACTTTGCTGTTGGCGACTATGTTGCGAAATGTGCAGCAACTAAGAGGTACAAAAAAATCCGGCGAAGAAAGTTGCAGACCCGGATTGAGTCCGGGGGGCAGTAGAACGTTTCATTTCGTTTCGTTTCGTTTCGTCACAAACATTTCGCAGCGTCGCTCCGTTTTAATGGCGACCCGTGCCCGGAGTCGCGGCCCTTTTGTTGCTTAATTGGCGGCCGGCCGAGTGCCCCGTCTGCACTGCCACAAATTGCCGGGCGAGTTGGCTACGTGCTGCCCCGGATTCCGGTGGACTCGGTGCCCTGCCCGTGCTCCTGCTCCGTGTTTCGTGCTCCTTGGCTGCGCCTGATTGCACAAGTCCAACGGCCAAAGTTGCATATAAATTTTCGCGCCGTGTTCATCTATCCCACGTCCGTGTGCCATTTGCATTCCGCCATTGTCCTGCGCCAAGTCGTTTGGCCGGGCTGAATTGGATCGGATGGGATTGGGTGGGATGGGTAGGTGGGATTGGGTGGCTTTGTGGGTGGTGCAGCAGCGGGAGGAGATTGAGGTGCCGGCGTGGGTGTGTGCTGGAGTTATCCTACGTGTGTGCCATATAACTTGGCCGGCGTCATTGTCATCGTCGCTGTCCATTGTGCACCAAATGCAGTACGTAATCACAACAGCAGAGGCGGAGGACAGTGGTCTACAGGTGCCAGGATGTCAACAAATTGGAGGTCACCAAATAAAATACTACAAACAATTGTATTTTGTTTTTTTCATTAGCTAGATTAAATTAAATTAGATTTAATTAGATTAACAGTAAACTAAATAATAGACCGAACAAATATTATAGCCTGAATGTTTTAAAATCATTGGAGTCATAAAATGGAGTCATAAATCATAAGTAGTCTCATTAAGTTCATAATTATCAATATTCTACCCTTAAAATATCTTTATGTATCCACTCACAACAGCTTATATACATTTATGTTATTATCTCTGAATATCTCAATTCAAAAAGTGTTTATTTTGAATTTATATCTATATTGGCAATAAAAAGGTACCTGTTAGAAATATGACCAGATTTTAACTTACATGTGAAACTGAACTCACGTTTGCCCTAAGCAAGTTTGACTTTTTTAAGGTTTGTAAATGGTTAAAAAACTCAACTTAATTTTAATTTTAAATAATTTTACAACACAACTTTGTGGAGTACAAAAATATGAGAAATATTGGATCCACAGTGCAGCGACATCAAGAATGACAGCAACGAAACAATGTGGCAAATGTGCAGGGTTGACTTTTGGTGGAGGTGGTGGTGCTGGTGGTGCCTACTTTTGCTGTCGTGGCAGAGGCCCCTACTTCGGGCGCCCCCTTACCCCCCCGGGGGTGTTACCTAGAACGGGTCTGGGTTTGGGTCCGGCCATTGCAGTTATGTCACATGGCTGACTTAATTCATTCATTTAGACGACGCTGACAATTGTAGGTGTTGGGTGTGCGCGCCCTCTGTCATTTCGCTTTTGTCAACGTCGTCGACGCAGTGCACCAAAGGGCTGGAGGAGGGGGCGGGGCGGTGTCGGAGGCGGAGGCTGAATGATGGTTTGAGGATGGAGCCAAGGATAGGTCCAGTTCTACCGCCCCGAAAAGGGGGACCGAAGCCGGAGCCAGTGGAGAGCCATTATGGCACCGACGTTGTCAATGACTGGCGAATTATTATTGCCTGGCGGAGGCAGTTGGACGCCAACAAAGTGCCCGCCCACCGCCACGCCCCATTGTTCCCGGGTGCCACCGAGTGGATGTATGTGTGTGCTCCATCTTGTTATGACAGTTGGCACCAATTTCCGCACACGTTGCAGGTGGCCCGTGGCCCGTGGCAATGTGGCATGGGCGTGGGGGGTCCAGCCATTTGTCAGCCAGTCAATCAGGAGCTGGCGACCCTCAGACTTATTGCATTGCGCGGCATTCATTTACTGTGAGGGTAAATTGATTGCGCTTTAATAATTTGCATAAAAAAATGAAATTAATAAATAACTTGAAAATAAGCAAATAATTGTCATTTAAACAGATGGTTTAAGATACAATTTAAATTTAAGCTTTGCTTGAAGGATATAACGGTTCATAGAATAGCGGTCAATAACAGAGCTGCATTGCGCACAGAGTTGCCAACACTTAAAAGAAGGGATGCCAGATATTTATCATCGAATTTCAAATTTGAAAGTATGCAATTGTAAGCCTGAAGATAAAGTAATTATTTTACCTTAATTTAATGTTTAAAAACAATTCCATAGCAATTCAATACCCCACCCCACAATCGAAAATGCCCAAGAATAATGTATATATGTATATATTTCATATGTATCATACAAAATTTCCATTTTAAGTTTTAGCAACTAAATTGGGTTGAGTTTTTTGTTTCGATTTGAAGTGCACAAATTAAAAAAAAAGTTTACTAATTAATTAATTAAGAAATTGACGCAAATAAATAACAAAAAACTAATTCAATATATGCATATGTTAGATATAGTGGAGTTGATTCCATTGCAAAATCGCCGTACGGAGAGATTTGATGTTTAATTTTTGACTTTGTGTTTATTACAGATTAATTTTTAAAGGTTTGCTTAGTGACTAAATTTTGTTTTGCGTATTAAAATTGCTTGCTTGAGTGTTTGGGTGTGAGTGTGGGGTCGTGTGTATGTGTGTGTCCGAGTGTTATCGTTCATATCAATATGTATATAAATATATAAATAAATTTATAGGAATATGTGTTGATTTATTTTTATTTTTTTTCATTTATTTATGTTTTTCTTGCTCTTATTTCCCTTTTCTTTTTTTCTTTTTAATTTTCGGTTTTTTTCCGTTAAGCTTTACGAATCGAATATGTATATATAGGTGTATATATGATGTGCTTGTATAACCATAATGTCATTCTTCATTTTTGCTGGCCTAGTTGCTGATATATTTGATAAAACGGAAGGACTCGCGACAGAAGTTTCGTTTTGTAGTCTACGCTAAAAATTTGTTGTTCTTCTTTTTCAGATTTTCTCATCGTATAAAACGTATAAAAAGCTAAATAGGTTGTTTAAAAAAAATCTCTCTTTCTATGTATACGTAGATCTTTATATATAAATATATAAGTTTTTGTTTTTCATGTTCCATTCACTCGCATTGCCTTCTCTTTATCAAGATTTCTTATTTTTTTTCGTTCATGTTGCAATTGTTGTTTAGGATCTCAAATTCTTGTGCGACTTTTCTCAGCGCTTCAGCTGCGGATCGATAAATAGGGAATCCCGCTTGGATGGGAAGTGTGTGATTGTGATACTGATGACGCGTGCAGCAGCCCGTACGGGAGGGGGCGTGGTTCCGCCCTAGAACTCCCACTGGGTGGCCGAATCGGTGCCATCGTCCAGCAGCTTGAACGCCCCGTTCTTCGTAGCGCCCAGATACTTGCCCTGCTGCGATCTGAAATATTTAAAAGCCATTAGTAACTATTATTTAATGAAGAGGAGATATACAGCGTGGATTAAAACATAGGCGTTTCATACGGTTTTCCTTTCTCTAAATGTCTTTAATCGTTAAAGACTTGGTAACCTGTTGCTTCAAAATATATTTAACGTTTTCTTACTATGTATTAAACAGGCAATTCATTTAATGATTGTCTTAAAAATTAAATGCTCTTTTAATTAAACACAATGATCCACTTTTTTTGATAACTAAATTTTAAGCACTCAATTGTTGAACTAGAGCATTGCCTCTGAAATTACGGAAATATTTTCAAATTATCAATTTGAATCAATGTACTCATGTACACATAACTTATACACTTTAGCAAAAGAAACCATGTCTAAATTTGTCCTAATTACGGGTGAATTTCCTGATGTTTTAATCTGACTGTCTACCCCAAATGTGAGCCAAACCTTATGCAGATCCTGGTCGGCTCGCGAAGCTCCAGGAAGAATCCATCGCTGGGCGCGTCGGCGTCCACCGAGATGCTTTCGCCCTCGATGCGCCAGTACTTGCCGCTGTGCGCCTTCAGATGCACCAGTCCCTTTTGGGCGCGCTCCACGAGGATGGTCTCGTAGGTGGCCTTGTTGCACTCCAGCTTCAGATTGCCGGGCGTGCGATAGCCCACAAATCCTTGCTCACACTTCAGTACCAGAATGGGTCTGCCAATTAAATGATATACAATGTTAGTTTGGGTACAATTTAGAAATCCCAGCTTATCACTTACCGATTGATCAAGTAGAAATAGAACTTGGCTATCTCCTCAATGGATTCCGAAGTGGCGAACAGATGCCCAGAACGCTTAGTGGCCAAGAACTTGCCATTGTTGGCACGGAACGAGAGCGACCCGTCGCCGTGCCAGATCAACTCGAAGAGGGCGTCGGCGCAACGCCGATTGCCGGTGGCCTGGATCCCGCCGCCCGCCGACAGACACCAGTAGCGATCCTGGGTGGTGCGCAGGGCCCAACGGTGCGCCGACCAGTCGTACTCCAGCTGGAACGTCTCGTTCTCGCCCACCTCATCCTGGTTGGCCGTCACATCGACGCCCTGCTTAACGCTCACATAGCGCAAATTGAGGCCGGCAATGAACGAGGCCTGCGGCAACGAGTCCTCCAGCGAGAACAGCTCGTCCCGCGTCACCGACGACGAGCGGGACTTGAGTACCGCCTTGGAGCCAATGGGCGACAAGTACTGACCCTGGCGATCGCGCAGCGCCAGGTGCCCGCCATGATATTCGGCGCTGAACAGGCAATCCTCGTTGCAAACCACCTGCAGTTTCCCATTGGCGTTCAGATATCTGTGGTGGATAAGGAAATATGTTAGAAGGATGGTATTTAACGAAACTAAACAAACCAGCATTTAAAGACCCAATTACTCACTTGTTGTTGCACGTGTGCAGGGCATATCGACCGCCCTCCTCGGCACGGAACTCCAGCGTAAAGAGCGTATCCTCGCCCCACGGAATGTTGGCGTCCACATGGATCTCGTCCTGCGACTCGGAAAGGTGAGCAAACCGCTTGCGTCCAATCGAACGCAGATTGACCTGCGGCCGGGCCGCCAAATGGACCGTCCAGAACTCACTGGCGCCGGGCGTCTTGGCCGTGCAGACCAGTTTGTCCGGAGTGCCGCCGAGGAAGTAGCCGCGCGACTCGTTCTTCAGCGCCCAACGGCCGCTGCCGTCCTCGCTGATGCTGATCTGGAAGCGGCTGCCAGCGTCCCGCTCCTCGCTCTCGCACAGCACGTTGCCAAACTGATCGACCGAAAGGTACTTGTTCAGATGAGATCGTAAGTAGATAATACCTGAAACGAGTGGGGCGACGAGTCGGATTAGTAATGCTTTTCAACGGCTTGGTTTGCAATGAGAGCGTTGCAAATCGTCGCTTAAATTAAATCGAAATGAATTGCCATATATGGCACATAGATTCATTTATTTTTCTTTTTTTTTAAATATAAAAGTAATAAATAATAAAAATATATTTTGATTTTCTAATACATTTTTCGGTCGTTCATTTGACAACTATATTATATAATCATCCCACTTTTATAAAACTAAAACCGTAATTCTGAAATTAATTAAAACTACTATATCTCAAGCAATTCGGTATATGTTTCCTATGGAACCTATACGATATAGTTGTCTGATCCTACTTATATCCTACCTGCAATAGAAAGAATCCTTCCTTGTGTTGAAAAATTTTAACTGAATTTAAAATGATAGATCTAAAACCAAAGATTTTACCCTACCTAAACAAAGAAATATCCCCTGCGGCGTTAGACTAATTCGAAAATCGATTAGACTGGCGCGCAGTTGTGGGCTATCGATACTCGGCCATTTCGATTTGGCTCGCTTTCCAAACATTTTGAGTGCTATCATCTATTAAGCCATTTGTTCAATCCATATCCACCGTGACCAGTAATATAAGTTGGGAGCTGCACAAGCTGCAAGGCCTGGCAAGCAGGCGAAGCAAGAAATTTTCAATTTGGATGAGCTATTTTAATGGCCACGGCGAATGCCGGCTGACTTATAGCTTTGGTATTATAGAAAATGTTTATTAATTGCCAGTGGCAACGACCAGAGCGGCGGCGGCGAATAAAAAACCAGTTGCTGGCCAGCTTTAATTGTAATTGCTCGCCACGGACACAACCAACAGCAAGTCCAAGTGCAGGTCCGACTCCAAAGCCAACTCCAAAGCCAAAGCCAATGCCAACTCCAAATCCAACTGCAATTCCAATGCAGCCGCAGCTTGATAAATGATGCCAAATTCGTGAGGCGCTTTGTTTTCTACTCTCCAGTACGTCAAATTAGTGCAACTGGAATTATCGGCCTCTGCGAGGACACCCCAAATGATTTATGTTGTAAATAAAAGAAAAAGAAAAAGACTCCACTAACTGGCCAAGATGATAGTGATTACGGTTGGCAAATGGTTTCGACTCAGCCACTTAAGCCCCAGAGTCGGGGTAAATAATGGTAGCAACTGGTTCGAAATAACACCACTCCCCAACCGAATAAAAAATAAAACAAAAAATCACCTGCAGTCGTCGGATTAACATGCTTATCTGTGGTGTCCCCAGATAACGGGCACATGCATATTGTTTGCCATTTAAATGTTAAGGTGTGCCATCGATTAGCCCGAAACCGAATTGCCAATCGCGTGTGGAAAGCCACAGCTGTGATTGAATAAATACCACTGGGTTGCAAACTTTTTCTTCAAAGAGTTTAGTTTTCAAGCTTCACTGAAAAACAATTGATTGTACAATAGAATTCCCTTTAAAAACAGGGCTTGGGATTAAATGCCTATTAAATAATCGATACACCAAAAAGTGTCTGATTCAATTGTTTCTTTAAATGCTTTATAATTTTGTTTTTTTTTGTTTTGTTAAATTATGATAAGGTGACGTATACTAGGAATCCTGTGCCCATACTACACTTATTAACATCGAATTCAAAAATTTGAAGAAGTTTGTGATTTAATTCACTTGCTCTTTATGATCATATCTAGATATCGAAATATATGGAAAACCGAAATCTAAACATTTATTTCCTATCGTATTTGCAAAGATATTTTGTTCATCAAGTAAAGCTTATTAGTTTTTTTTTTTTAAAATGTGTTTTATGAAAGTTAGCTTGGAGTCATATGCTTAGAATATGTTTTTGCTTATAGTCCGATGCCTACTCATAACTTTAAGTTTTGGTCGTTAATACTCACTTTCACCGGTGTTCGAGGGTTCCAGCGTCCACAGCTGCTTCTTCTTCAGACTGGCGCCATTGGCATTGAGCTTGAACCCAAAGGTCTCGGCGGTCATGTACTTGTGCTGGCCGTTGATCAGGCCGATGGTCCACCATCCCTTCTGTTGGTTCTGTGAGATGATGTCGCCGTTGCTGTGGCCCAGCTCGCAGCCCTGGCCGTTCATGGTGCTGATGGGAGCAATCTTGGGGCAGTCTCCGGATTCCGGCTTCTTTTTGGAGGAAAAACTAACGTTGCGGCTGCAATAAAAGAGCGAAGACAGGCGTTGAATACAGGGGCGTGGTCAGTTATTGGTTTGGAAATTGGTATCTATCAAACAAACCAAAATAGATCCATAAATATTAAATTATTTAGTGCGAATTACTGAAAATCGTACATCACAAGATCGAAACAGTCTATGACATAAAACACCACGTGATTTACGTTTTATTATTATTAATATTTTAATTTCAGTGATTAATTACCAAAAAGTTTCATTTTATTATTTGTTTTTCTACACAGAAAAATACCTGTAAAATTTAGGACTTTTAAGATTAACATTTAATTACTTTAAGATCAATAAAAAAGTAGTTACTTATACCTATCAAAATTTTGAAATAAAAACGTATGCACACTGACAACGATTATGCAGTTCGTGCCCCTCATGTAACGCCCCTGGGTGAAAACATTGATTATTCGTTTAATTATGTAAAACTATCCGCTTGATTGATGAACACTTTTTCTAAAGGGGCTGCGTGCAAGATTTATGGGTCGTTTCTTCGGCTCACGACTGACTACCACAGGCTGTCAAACAGGGTCTCCACTGTCTGCCATGTGTGTGCTGCAGGCAGTGGGTGCCCGGGGGGAGGAGGGGGGGTCTTGGGAAGGGGTTTTTTGGGGGGAAAGAGTTCTCCAGACATTGCCATTCAGCGCAACAGGAAATGCAGATAACATTTGCATTACATGGCGACACATGTCGCTGATCCACAACTCCATCTCCTTTCTTTTCTGCGTTTTCTTGCGTTTTCCTGCTTTTTCTTGCTTATTCTTCCTTATTCCCCACATCCCAGTCAGCTTCAATAAATTCAAACCCAACAGCCAGGCAAACAGTCAGCTGTCAATGCATCGATGACACTTCTATCGTGCCATCGATAAAGCTGCGTTTGATTCGTAGCAGGTGTTTGGCACTCGAAAACTGGAATCACACCTACTGGGAATACACTGGTTCAATTAATTGATCTGGAGCAGAAAGACTAATCCTCGGCAATCAATTACCGGTTGAAATTAATCAGCTTTTAATGGACAAAACTCCAGCTAAATTGATAAAGCAGAGACAGCAGGCACAGCTGTTTTTTAAACACTTCAAAATCAGCGCTTCGGTGATTCAGTTATAGTTGATCATGTTATTCTAATAATTTCTCACTATATCAGTTATATACAGTCAAACAAACTAACTTAAATGTCTGATTGTAATTTTAAAAATTAAACAGCTGTTCGGTGATTCGGTTTTATTTTATCATGCAATTCTATGCATATTTAAATTTATCAGTTATATACAGGCAAATAAACAAACTTCAATGTCTAATTAATAAAATTAGAAATTAAGCAGCTGCTCGGTGATTTAGCTTTATTTAATCATTGTGTTCTATTAATTTCTAATTTCATCTGTTATATTCAGTCAAACAAACAAACTTTAATGTCTGATTAATAAAATTAAAAATTAAACAGTTGTTTGATGATTTAGTTTTATTCAATCATGCTATTCCATTGTCTTATAATTGCATGAGTAATAAAATTAAAATGAATGCAACTCAGCAAAATATAAACTTCTGTTTTATTATTATTAATTTAACAACTGATTTAAAACACGCGTTTCTGGAAACCGTTGCTAACCGTTAGCCACTGATTCCAAGCGTTTTAAGTATCTACCAGCCACCAGCTGCAGCAACATTAAGGCCATTAGCCATTGCTGCAACAAAAACGCCGTGGAAAAGATAAATAAGCAGAATCATAAACATAAACAGAATCAAGAACAAGAACAACTCATTAGCGTGACGCGTGCCTGCTAATCAGAGCTTATGAATCGCCGGGCCCGGATGAGTCAACAACTCCAGCCAACAATAATAAAAAGCCGCAGCCAGTAACGCTAAACATAAATTAAGAACATCAAAAAAAAAAACTATAAAAAAAAAACTGAAATAAATAAAAAATATGACGGGGCACAGACACTAAAAAAAAAAGTAGAAGAGAGACAGTCATGGAGGCACAATAATCATAATAAATAAGGAGGGAAACTGAAACAGAAACAGTTGATGGCACAAAAGGTGTGTGTGTGTGGAAAAGGAAAAGGGGCGGTTGAATTTTGCATTCTAATTTCTCAAAAAGGCAAACACAAAGGGGCGATAAAGGAGTTGAAGACAAAAGCGTGACAGCGACTCCTACATTTCCTTTTTTCCCCTTATATTTCTAGGCGTTGGCTCCTGGAATAAAAAAAAAAGAAAAATTGGCCGCGGAACGATGGCCTGGGCGTTGGCTTAAAAGCAAATCGCAGATGGCAGATTAACATCAAATGAAATGCAAACAGAAATGAAAATACAAATAAAAACGAAAAACGAATGGCGAAAAACGAAACGAAAATTGCACAGTAAAAAAAAGATCATCTTGGATCTGATAGACATCACAAAGGTAATACAATTAAGTAGTTTACGTTTATTAATGGATTAATAGCGTAACTAGTGGCTCAAAGATTCATTCCCGAAAACTACTCTGAAAGATGAAACATACTTCCTATAAGGTATTGTTTTAAAGTTTTTTCTTAATTCAAATTTATGTAGTGGTTTAATTTTAATAAACGTATATATTTTTCAATTATCACAAACTCATGAACTATTTTTTGGCGACATTATATTCTCTTTAGCCACTTCATTGTTATAAGATATAAATTATAGTTTTATGTGTGAGAAAATCGCGCGAGTTGGAGTCAACGCTCGCTATATGATGCCTCGTCAGCTTAAAGCTCCTCACCTGCACCTCTCACCTTTTCCGCTTATTCGGCCACCTCCCTCTTAACGTCTTTCGACATTTGTTTTCAGGTTAAATGCAATTCGATAGGCGAAAATGTTTGAACAATTTCGCTGGAAAATTAATTATTGCCATTTACAAGACGATTTCCACACACTTGAGCAGTGCAAATCATAATTAATTATGCAAACGAGTCTGGGGTTTTTCCCCCACCTCTTTTTTTGTCGGTTTTATACGGAGGTTAGACCGGAGATCTCCGGCGAAGATACACCACAGAGAGACGTCCTCAAGCAATTAGACAAAGCAATGTTGGCCAGGCAAACACAACAGTTAGACACCGTTGCAGCAGCAACTTGCGGCAGCAACATCATCAGCTGCAACACCATCCTCATCATCATTACCATTATCATCATTATCGAAGGCCTCGGAGGCACAAGCAGCGCCAATTACTGCAAATGGAGTGCCGGGCATCGCCAAGCGGAACAAATGCAGCAATACTGGCTGCCTCCACAGCCACATCCACATCCACATCCACGTCTACGTCCATGCCATATTATCTACCCAAACATCCACATCCATGTTCGTGTCCATCTCGATGCCAAAAGATCCAGAAGCTGTTGCCAAGTGTCTCTGATTCGGCCTTTGTCTTCTTTTACTAGTCTGCCCTTGAAAAGGGGGGCATGTTCACTTGGTTCTCGGACAGGGAAAGTATTTTTGCTTATATATGTAGCATCGAAAAATCTGCTTTAAGACAGTCATTCTTAAATGCTGTCTTCAACAATTATAAACGGTTCTGCCAGGCATTTCAACTAAATTTATTTATTTATTTATCAGTTTTCTGCAGAAGAACCATGTTTCTTCTATAGGGAAACTAGAGTTCAAAGGATAAATAACTTATCTGTTTCCACCGATACTATAAAACTTTTTTTTATGATGCATTATTCGGCAATAATACATAGTACTGCCAAATTTCAGAACAATTCAAGGAGACTATAATATTAAGCCGAAATAAAATTGACGTATTCCAGGGTATTCCAATGTTCAAAGCATAGCTTCTTGCTTGTTTGCTCATTATTATTCTGTTCTTGCTTTGAGTTTTTCTTCTTGTTGCTCTGCTCTGCCAGCAAATCAATTAAATTACACTATCAATATCGGCGATTGAATGTCGCTTGTATGTGCGAATTTCTGCTACAAGTATGTTTGTATGATGGTGTATCTGTATCTTTGTGTTTATCTTTCCCTTGATGTGTGTGAGCGTGGTGTTTGTGTGTGGCATTATTAAAACGCAATCTAATTAAATGAAATTGCACACGCACACTACAGAGTGGTGTTTGTGTGCTCCTATTTTTTCTTTTTGTTTTTTTTTTTTGAGTGTGTGATGTGTGCTTTTAGCAAATTACGAAAATGTAAAATATGATGGAAGCTTTATCGCATCCAGCGCACCTTTCACCAATTGACGTGTTGCTCTGCCTGACTCTCCGCCTCCTCTTTCCCCGTGCTTCCCCCTCTTTCTCCTTTCTTTCTTCTCTCCCCCTTTTCGAAACGCCCAACCTGCTTTTATTTTGCGTGTGTTTCGCTCTCATGCGTGCTCTGCCGACGCCGCTGCTTCTGTGTTGGCTGGTTAATGATAACGGTACAGCTAGCTAGCAGCTAGCCGATAAACGCAGTCGCATTCAAACAATGCGAACAGATCTCAGATTTCCAGGTTTTCCAGTGCAGCTGTATGGCCGTTCAGCTGTTCTCACTTCATCTTCGTCGCTGGAATCTTCTTCTTTCGCATGCGAGCACAGTAAACACTCGAAGTGATCAAATATTCACGAATGCAGTAGAGGCCTAATACAGAGAACTCTTTAAAAAGAAGGATATTTTTACCATAACGATTGAGTGGATAAAAAAAACGCACATTTCAGAACCCTCTTACATAAGTGTTACAAAATATTATTATCAAACCTTAAACGGTGTTAACTTTTGTCTGTATAAATAATATCTCTCTTAAGAACTGCCTCTCCAATATCATTATTAAAAATGTTATTATCGCAATCAGTTTTTATAAATAACAAGAAAGAATCCATAAGAGATTTGTATGTTACATAAATAACATTTCTCGTTGTCATTGAACTAAAACCTATTAAAAAGTGTTACAATATAATAAGAGTGTCGCAATCATTCAGTGCTTTATTTGCAGTATTTACACTTTATACTTGACAGCGTCACAAATATGTTACATAAAAGCTAATGG